AAACAAACAAACAAACAAAGATTACACATACCTGTTAGAAACCAGATCATAAGATTGATGATACCATCTAAAGATAAGACGGATATTCTAAAAATCTTCAGTGAATCTACAGTATAGATTCAGGCTGAATGTCTTTATGACTACTTGCTAGTTGTAGGGATGTGGGAGAAGGCACTAACTTAGATCTGAGCTCTTTTCTGGTCTATAAAATGGAACAGTTATCTTAGAGAAGGATCTGACACTGAACACATCATTTCTCCCAGCTGTACCACATTTGAGAATGAGTGCTACACTATGCAGATATTAAACTGATAAGAATAAAGCGTCACTTAGGCAAAGTTCTGGGAATCTACAAGCTGAGAACGGGCCAGGGAAGTTGAGCTTACCTCTTATCACTTATTTGTATTCTAGTCCAGTACAGAGGCTTCATGGGACAACTGGGCTCAATGGCTGGCTTCCGAGGGCATTGGCTAGAAGGGCCAACTCCAAAGAAGAGTCCAGGAGGAGGTGGGGGCACAAGTCCTGGGGGTGTTGGAGCAGGAGGGGGCCCCCCACTGTTGGGCAGAGCAGGTAAGTTAGGCAGTGGTGGTGGGGGAGGAGGTGGGGGAGGTCCTGCACTTGGAGGCAGAGGAGGGGGCGGAGGTGGTGGTGGCCCAGCACACACAGGTGGTGGTGGTGGAGGTACTGGTGGCAAAGGTGCAAGTCCAGGGGGCAGGGGGGGAGGGGGAGGGATGGCTGCTGGTAGGGGTGGTGCAGGAGGGGGAGGCGATGCCTTCTGCTGACTTGATGAGATGCCTTCCACAGACTGAAGTGGTGCATGGATATCTTTGTTGTCATTTGGAGGAGAGAGTTGGCTTAAAGAGGAGATATTCAGCTTTTTGGGTATTATTTGGTTACTTCTGGTTGTCTTGCCTTCACTTTCGCAGGGTTTGAGGAAAGTCTCCCTGTCCGTCTGGATGCACACATTTCTGAAGGTCTTTGGAGGGCAGTCATCGTCAGTGGAGATACACACATCTCTCATCTCTTCACATCCCCCTCGCCATCGGTGCTCTATCTCGTGCTTGAGATTTTCAATGGTTTCTTCTAGTCTGGCTGTTATCACTGCATGCTCACCCCGGATATGAAAGGCCTGAAGTTCAAACTGAGCCTGCAAGGATATCAGTGGGAAAGAAAGTAAAGAGTTTATGAAAACAAATATCAGAAATAAAAAATTCAATACCATCGCCATGCCACCACAGCACAGCCCACATAAACACAGGGAAATACAGAGACATTCTTTTGAGAATCCAATAGGGTGTAAATTTCACTTTATGAATTTTCCAAGGACTTAAACAGTTGGAGTAGAAGCAGAATTTCATCCAATATGAGCTCATGGGGAATAATTATCATGGATTAAGGCTTAAAGTAAAACTGTCATCTAAGAACTTTCACCCGGTTTTAATATTAAATGCAAGACAAAACTTTTAATAAAGATTTGAACATGCTTGAATATATCTTTTATTACTTTTGGATTTGGTTTGGAAAAACAAAATTTTAACAAAAAATTAGATTTGGAGAGCCTCCTGGCTTGGAGCTGCTGTTCTCACAGTCTTCCTTAGAATGTCTCCTCTGTGGGGTTTCCGGACCAAATCAGCAGAAACAAAAAGTGCAAGTGGGAGCTATGATACGTGTTTCCAAATCAAAGCTGCCCATGAAAAGCGTTTGTGTCTGTTTCATAATCATCATAATATAGTAATAAATAATCAATATGAATGCATAGAAAATGAGAATATTAAGATTTGCAAATTTTCTCTCCTATATACCCAGCATTTTAAACTATATTTTGTGATACCAGCCTTTTTAATACTTAGCTTTTCAGTTGTTTCAGTGCCTTGAGTCTATCATTTTACACTTATTAGCAGAGCTGGCTTTCTTCCAGTCAGTAAGTAGTCCATTTCCCAGCATTCAAAGTCAGTTAGTCTAATCAAATTTACAATTTTATTAGAGTTTCCAAAATCCAATTAACAGTAATTAAATATTTCCAGTGAACTTATTTAATTTCTGCTTTCCCCATCAGATTACAAACTCTACGTGATGAAATCAGGGAGAGTATCTCTTAATTTTTGTATCCCAGCAGCCAGCACAGTAGGTACATAGTACTGAAGAGATGGATGGATAAAAACCACTGTAGTAGTTATATTCAGTCACTGTCCCAAGAGCCTTCCTTATGGCTAACGAAAATTTCTTCACTATAATTTCAGCCTATAAATATCTAGAACACCAAAGTTTACACAAGTGCAGATCCGTTTTGCATTGAAAAGGTAAGGAAATAATTGTAATGGTCTAGTCGGGGAAGGTAAAGAAGACAGGAAGATTCTCTACTTTTATTAAGATACTTTTAACTATATTTTTACTAGGTTCACCTTTTCTGTCACAAACCAACCCCCAAATAACTAGACAAAAGATTTTTCTAAAGCTGATGTTCTAGTATGTGGACAAGACAGCCCCAATCCAACTCGGGGGAAAAAAGTGGGGGGTTCAGGGCACCATCAATTTCTCGTATAGCACAGAGAGTTCAGTGCCTGAGTTCTGGATTCATACTACCTGGTTTACATCCTGGCTTAGTCAGTTGCTAGCTCTATGAACTTGGACAGGGAACTTTGTGTTTCAAGCCTGAGTTTCTTCAAATGTAAAGTGAAGATAGTAATGAACCATCTCGATGGTTTTTATAAAGATAAAATGAGATATTTCCTATAAAGCAGTAGGTATAATGGGGGAACACAGTACGCTCTGAATAAATGTTACTGTTAGTTACTGTTGCTCATGATAATATTACAGTAAGAGACTAACAAATTTCAAATTATTATTCAAAATTTCCAAATAATTCCACCTTTGTGGAGTGATTGCGTGCAGAATTAGGAAAATTTTAAGCGGTCGAAATAAACAATGTACTACAAATACAAACGTTTACCCAATCTTTCATGAGTTCTACTACCAAATGCCTAAAAGTAATTTCAAGCTTCTTTCAACTATGTGATCAAGATAATCTTTGTTTCAACATCCTACCCCTATCTCCATCTCTACCTCCAGCTCCCTCCCCTGCCCACCTCCCTCTCCCTCCCCTGCTCACCTCCACCCCCATCCCAGCCCAGAGTCCCACCCTGACTTACTTGCTAATATTTCAATTTCATTTTAGTGACTAGTTCAGTTCTGCCACAGCAAATTAACTCTTGGTTGTTGTTTCCATGTAACCTTCCTCCAAGAAGGTTAAAAGCCAACTAATATTGATGACCCAACAATTGTGCTCAGTTTTCAACTCCTTAATAATATGAAAAAGTTGCAAAGACATGCTTCACAGAGAAACTTTCCCTTTATCACACAACTGGCCTATAGCTAAAGCAAAGGCCCTGGTCCCCTCCTCTCTTACTTTCCACCTGCCAACCAAGCATCTTCTGGATCTGCTGAAGCTGAGCCATACACCTATATAGTATTTTGGTGGCTCTGTTATGCATTTGCTTAGTGTAGTGGACAGAGCACAAATCAGGCAGGTTATTTAACCTTTCCCTGTACCTCAGTTTTCTTGCAAGTAAAATGGGGATGATAACAGAATCCACCTCACAAGGCAGTGATGAGAAGCAGATGAGTTAATATATGTAAAATAACATATAGAGCAGTGGTCCCCAGCCTTTTTGGTACTAGGGGCCAGTGCTCCTATGAGAATCTAATGCCTGATGATTTGAAGTGGAGCTGAGGTGGTGATGCTAGCACTAGGGGCAGCTGCAAATATAGACAAAGGTTCGCTCGCTCTTCCAGGGCGGTGGGGGGTTTGGGGTGGTGGTGGTTGGGGACCCCTGCACTAAAAGCTCTTCTGATCTGTTCTCTGACAACTTTCTCCACTTTTGGCTCCTGCCCCTTCCCCAGATATGTCTTGTAAACTAGTATTACATAATGTCTTGCCTCTCTCCAAACTATGCTCCTTGATGGCGGCCTTTGCAAACAGTGTCCTCTCTCAACACCCCTCCTCTGCTGCAAACATCCAAGATATGAGAACAGATTACCGGGTTCCATGAATGGCTTCTTCACAAATTGTATTCACTAATAGGAAGAATTACCAAATAAGAAGGAAATACTAAATTTCCATGTACTCTATATAAATATGCTGAGATTATAGTAAGAAACTCTTCTGACCATTAAAATTTAAATGGTCCACATAAAGAAGCAACTTACCTTTGCCCTTCCCTGTCTCACAATCCCTTTGATCATTCTGATTTTGTCTTGGTTGTGTTCAGAAGCTCAGCATGACATAGTAATTCAAAGTGATTAAAGTAATAAGCACCTCATTCATTCTGTATCTGTCCATATCCTATCAATTATAGCAAATTGTGCCTGGCTCTATTACAAACGAAGAATCTCAAGTCCATGCACACCCTGAATTGAGCCTTTGGGAGAGGTGGTTTTTAACCCCATTTTTCACTCTACTTCCTGTTAAGTGCCACTTCTACTTCGCACATGGAGACCATGTGCTCTTACCCCTCCTACGTCCAGAGCCACAGCTAGAAGGACTGTTAATGATTTGGTGAATAAAACACAGAGAGTAGAACTTTCTGTTAGATAATCATGTACTGCTGGTTAATGTTTGCCTAGGATCCTGGGAATCTTTATGAAATGTCAAGTCCAGGTCCTTATAGCCAAAATTGCAGCTAAGGCTGGGCCAAGGGAACATAATACTTTTAAACCCTGCTGGCTCTCTTTTCAGTGTCCTTTACTTTCTCACTGAATATGGTGCTTATACACAGGAGACAAAACAATTATAAACTTTCTATTCATTTTTAGATAAATGTTCTTTAGGACATAGGAAGCATTATGGGTTTCCCTCTCCCCAACCCTCTCTGCTAAGTCTGTTTTTCTGCTTTCACCCCAATATAGCATTTGAAAGGAGAAGGTGCTGAGGTTTGACAACTTTCTAGTCTTCCCCAAGTTTCATCTGATAGACTTCATCTAAGTTTTATCCTTTACTCATAGTTTGATTGCTTCTGTCTCTTTCATTTTTAATCACATCCTCTTCCCAACTTTGTCAACTAATCTATATCCATCTCCTTCTAAGCAAAATTCAAATTTGAAATCTTTAAGAGAGCAATCTCAATTAAACCATTCTATTACAATCCTTTGTTTCCTTCATTGGCAGTATTTTTATCTATCTAATGCAGTGGCTCTCATTAAAAACACCTAGAGAGCTAATGAACAAGACTATCCCCACATACCACCATTCGATTGGTCTGAGACGGTGCCCCTTGAACTGGTATCCATAAAGCTCCCCCAAGAAATTCCAATGCGCAGCCAGCATTGAAACCCACAGCAACTGTTCTTAATCTTTAGCGTGCTCTAAACACACCTGAGAGAGTATGACACTATAATAGCGGTGGATTATTTTTGTCAATGACTTCTACTTGGGTCTCCAAAGCAATGTGTTATTTTAAAAAGTCTCTTCCTCATTCTCACATGTCCCCATAACGGGAGTACCCCTCCATTACCCATATTGATAATAGTTATGTTACATAGCAGATAAACCTAAATTCTTTCCATGATACTTGTGGGTCTTCAAAACCTGGCCTCTGCTTACTTTTCCAGATACTTCTCTACACTTTCCCTATGTTGTACCACTACAGACACAAACATATGATCAACTCCCACATCTTTATGCTTTTGAGCATGCTGTTTCTCCTACTTAAAACACCCTTTCTCTCCATTTTCACTTAGTGAAAGCCGCAAAAGAAAATTCAGTCAAGTTCAACCAAACCTTCTGGCTTAGACTTTTCTTAATTCTTCTTGACAAAAGTTTTCCTTTGACTGTTGCCAAAGAACTTTCTAGGTTTGCATTACATTATAGTCTTTTATGTTTATCTTCTTTGCAAATCTAAAAGCTCCAGGCAGTTAGGGACCATGCCTTATTCGTGTTTGAACTTCCAGAACATTGCACACTGCTTGGCTAGCTAGTGATCCATAAATGCTGATTGGATTATTTCTTTAGCTTTCAATATTAAAACTTCCTCGTGCCTCTGTATTACCCACCAAACTAGACCTGAAGCTCCAAAAAATTTTAAAAAGAGAGAGACATTTGGTCTCCTTTCTCTTGAATAGTCCTATGCAAAGTAAAAACGATGAAATTTC